AATTTTAAAATGCTCATTTCTCAGCAACCTAGCAATATTTTTTCAAACGGAAAGCGCCATTTTACTCAGAAATGTCTATATTTTCTTTTATGACTGCTTTCAACAACTTCTGTGAGATATGTTTGAGCAGTGTCGGTCGTGGCTTATATGAAATGGCTCTTAAAAGAAAAGTAAACGAAAAAGTGTTTAAAAATACTTATTAGTATTATGTAAAATCTCATTTGAGTACTCACATACTCAATACACACATGAACATTCATAAAGTACTCAATGAGTAAAAAAATTCATGAGTACTCGGTACATTTTTCTATGTGAGTACGCTGATGAGTACTCATGCTTGAGTACATTCACTAGGTGATTTTATTACGTTCAAAAACTAGACATTTTATGATTTTCATTTAAGACTGTTACTGCACCATTATGGGCCATTAACAACGTATTTTTCGAACGTTTTCTAAAATCAGTTTTTTTCTGGCTAATAATCTCACAAAGACTGAATTTACAGATTTCAATATTTCTGATTTCTTAGGACCATGGTATTATTACTACTACCAGACCCCAGAATAGGAGGTTACCTCCTCCGGACAAATTTCGATCACTTGTATAATTAAAGCAGAGACAAGTTCTTCGCTTTCTTAAAAGAATCAGAGGGAAATTTATATTAGTCAAAATAGCGAAATAAAAAACGAATGATTTGTTCACTAATGGTTAAAAACTGGCATTTAACTGTGGACGTTTAAATGCTAGACTTTTCCTGATATATTAACTAGTCCAAAATGGTATGCTGACAGACAGTGCACGCTTGATGTGAATTCCACTTTCAAGTATATATAGTTAAATGCCTGTTTTCACGCCATGATTCATGGTGGAATAACGGACAGTAACGGTGGCTGTTAACGGACTGTTTTTTACCAGTTTTTAGCCGGTTAAAAGTCAACTTTTTCGTTATGCAGTCTGCCTGAGATAAATAATAGGTATTATCCATGAGTCGATAGATCTAGAAGGGCTAAAGCCGATGATGCTAGTCTCAAAACTTTATCACGCAAGATATTTTAAACACGAAGATTTGTAGCAGAGAAGTGGCTTTTTGGAGTCGTTACTCGCGCTTACTGAACTGATACTTTTCAACTTCGGATTGAATAAAGCACATTCAGCCAAAATAAAAAAACGATGCATATTTTTGTTGCTCATTAAACGGCGGTTCAAATGACATAAAACACTTAGCTTCATCTCTTAAACAATAAACCTAGATAAGTTTACAAAATGACCCAGGCTCTTTTTGAGTTTATCAATAAAAAGTGTCCTTGTAAGTGGCTTGTTGTTGTGAGTGACAAAGAACGGCGAATCGCTATGATGTAGACCATGTCACGTAGTTGCAAATATCGCGACAAAACTTTGATAGGACAAACTTATGCTTTGTGTCAAATAACTGAACATCAACACCATGTCTAAATGGATCAGTCTTCGACGATTTTAATCGAATAATAGCTTTCCCTGCAGCACTGTCTATACTAACATCATCAAAACAGAGGTTTGATCTTGAATCGAAATTAACCGGAGTTAATTCGCCGATAGGGAAACATCCGAAAAAGCGACGACACATACAGTTTGAATAAAAATACTCCATTAAGGTCCGAAAGGGCATTCTTCGAATTTTACGAATAATCTCTCGAGAATATCAAAAGTGATTGACAGGCGTAATCGTTGTCAGATGTCTGAGTTTTAGCTACTCCTTTCAATAACAATCGTATTCTTTCTAACGGAATTCCATTACGGTCTTGAGTTGGATCAGGATTAACAGAAATAATAGCTATATATCTAACTGCTGCTAAATAAAGTTTTATTGTAGTGTATTTAATCTTTAAAATTGCAGAGCAATAACTGCTAAAGCGAGCTAAACGTTCTTTCATAATTTGTAAAGTCTTTAAGCTGTTACCCAGTCCGTCCAATAAAGCGAATCGCGTAAAAACTCGAAATCCCGATTCATAAGATTGTTTCGTCGTAGAAGTAATATAATGAGCTAACAGATATTGGAGATGTTGTGTTACAAAAATACTAATTGACACGTTTGTGGCACTGCAGTGGGGGCTGGATCCGTATATGGAGCCAGTCGGCGAAATTCGTGAATCTTAAAACGAGAAAGTGGATCAGCAAGAGTGTGTTGTTTAGTTGGAATCCACTGTGCTTTGACTAAGAAAGAATGTTGCATACTAAGCAAAGTTAGCTTCCTTAATAGGCTCATAATACCTGGACATCGACTCCTTTCCTTATTAATGAAACGTACTGTGCCTTCATTATCACATTTCACCTAAATACGTTGCCCTGTTCAAGTATGTCCTCACAAGACTACTGATGCCACAATAGGGTAGAGTTCAAATAAAGGCAATCTGCGGCGCGATATATTTGCAAAGTCCTACTTATAAGTCTTTCTAGTTTATCATCTGGCAGATGTGCTTGCATGAGGATAGTGTCTAAAATAATTCCGAGATATTCTAAGCATGCCCGACTATTTCCCTCCAATTTAATGCAATATTTATTTTTTTAAAAATTTGTGTTATCAATGCTTTCGTCCGCAAACTGTCATCTTCTGAACGATCAAGTGTTAGAAAATCGTCTAAAAGGTTTCTAATATCATTAACACCGTAGTTATTGCGGACGATCCAGACGATTGCCTCTGCCAAAGAATTAAAAATACGCGGGCTAGATCTACTGCCGAAAGTCAACCGGACGAAAAAATAATAACGATTATTCCATTTACGCCGTAAAAAGGCCACAATTTGCGATCGATAGGAATGCATTTAAACGCATCGACTAGGTCAAATTTTGACATAAAACATCCAGGTTCCAGCGCTTGATTAGAAGAAATCGCTTCAGACACAGTTGTATAAGTAAGTGAAAATTCTTCCTTGCAGATAAGGCTGTTTAAACTAACATGTATCTCATTTTCATGAGGAGAGAAAGGTCGACTATTAATCTAGGTTTTCTTGAGTATTTGCCGATACTAAGACCAATAAGGCTGATTCGATAGTTCTTGAAAGGTGGCATAGAAAACGGCCCGATTATATAGCCTTTAGTTAATTCTTCCTCTATAAGTTTGGTGACAACGTCTGGCTGATCGAGAGCTGATTTCAGATTTTTACATTCAAATGGAAATGGCGGTAAATGTTAAAGATCCGTCGAAAAGCCGTGTTTAAAACCATTTACTAAATAAGTGACATAATCTCTAGCTGGATGATCGCGAAGCTCATAAGGTAAATGCTCGACGTCTATTGGAGTTGTTGGTACTAAAGGCCCCGTAAAAACTAAAGCAGAAAAGAAACAAAACCTGTAATGTAGACAGACTTGCTGAATACAAAAGCTGTTAAATGCGCTGGTAGGTATTCTTTTTGTATAGATTGAGATGGAAGCCAGTCCGAGTGATAAACTGTGCGATTAAGAAAAACGCTACGCTTATATATTGCGTAGCGCCAGTGCTACTCATTAGAATAGATCGATCAAACAGCGCAGAAACTCCTCACCAGTATTTTTACTGCGTAGAGTACGAATAGGAGCTATTCTTATAATTAAAAATAGGTTAAGGAGTACAATCGAATAAAATGATCTAGCCGTTGAACTGCACGTTGAGCTGTAATACTAAGTCTCTCTGAACCTGCTGTGCGCTGTCTTAATTACGAGCAGAGGGAGCAGTAAGTGAAGCATATACATTTTGATGATTAGCGCCATGGTCTCGACCTCTACATCTAATACATGAGTATTCATAAGGGCAAGGATTACGACAACATCTTCCTTTATTGAATAATTTGCAAATTTCTTTATCATTCATCATTACCGTAGGCAATTCATTCGTGTTCTTTCTTCCTGACCGTTGTCTATTATTAAAACTAGCCATATTTTGAGGGCTAGAGATAACATTTGTACCATCATTCCAATGAAGAGGCCAAGCTGCTGAACGAGCGAAATTACGATCCTTGATTTGCGGGCAAAAGGGTGAAAGATGTGTCGAACTACCACAAATATTGCATGAATTTGGATTTTGGCCAGCAAAATACGTGAAGAAAATGTCGGCATCGCGTTTTCCTCAATCTAGTTTGATGTTCTTGTGAAATAAATAAAGAGCAGCTTTGGCAACGAAGGCTTGATGGTACGAATAGAACGCATTTCCACCAAAACGACGAAATAAATTAACAATGATCGCAAGATATGATATCAACTCTTTACTGCGTGAAGGATGCGCATAAATCATGATAGAAACACAGCGAACCAAGAAGACGACAAATTCAGTAATTGATAGAACCTTCAACAAACGTGGATCGGATGGTCCACGTAAAACAACCGGTGTTGTATCAGCTTCATCTCAATATGAGACACTACTACTATCAACAGGCAGCAAAAGATGAGCTAAATTCACATCTTCACCTTTAATAATAGAGGCACGAAGACGTGGCGGTACAAATTTAACCTCGGGGGCCATATCTAATGCTAAAGTTGAGATATCAGTTCCCAGTGCAGTGAACAAAGAATACATGCTTTTTGAATCAATATCTGCCGTTGTTTCTGAAGTCGGTAACGATGTTGACCCTGCTGTTGTATAACTTTTTGATAATGTTGAGGTGATGTTCGATGAATTCGTTGAATTGGCTAATTCACGTGCTGCTAATTGTAACATGTAATCATTTGAACCATTTGGCATAGCAGAACTAGGTGTCGTTGTAGTTGTTTTTCCACTCGTACGGCATGGTGGCAAGAGTACATCATGAAAATCATCCATTAATTGTTGTTGCTACTGTTGTTGTTGAGCCACTGACGATAATTTAGTTGATGGTGGATCAATAATTAATGATGAGCGGACGATGTTGGTGCAGTTCGTGGTATGCCATGCCAATCACATTTCACGTGTTGAATCTAGTGGTGGTTTGAAGCTAGATCTTATTAAATCTTCGATTAGTTGTTCGGTTGTAGGTTGCGCTGTCGTCGTAAATGCCAGCGGTGATGGAAATGGTAAAGAGACACGTCGTGTATTAATATTTCTCAAAATATACTGCTTTGACTAGTCGAACACAGAATAGAAAAACTCGCATGTACAGACGAGAAAACTGAATGTCTTTAGCCTGGGTTAATTATACTGTCTTACCAAAATAAGTAGAGGCGGCAAATGGCATAAAAGGAGAAAAAGAACGAGTAAGAGAAAATAGCCCTTACTCCAGAAATTAGTCATGAACGGCGGCTAATGTTCACCCTGTTCATTGCGCTCACAAATTGTTCGCATTAACCACTATACATTTATTGAATTTCGAAATGTATTACTACTAAGATTATTAAAATAATATTAAACATCCCGAGAAACGACAGCACATCATTTATAGACTGACAGGAAGTTGTGTTCTATTGTATGTCAGAAAGTGTTGACGTGTTGTCATTCTTGTCTCTGTTTGTTGCTGATGTTGCTTTTGCAAAGTCGACGGTATATG